TTCGCTTCCAGCTGCCTGGCTGCCGGCCGCCATCTTGGCTGACAGTTAATTTGCATATACTCACTGATTAGCCAATGAAAAGGGTAGCGGTCGTACACTAATTACCATGTTTCTCTTTTATTAGTGTAGATATCCAACATTGCATATTCCTATTTATAGTTTGTGAAATTCAAATATTCAATTTTAAAACTATATTTCTAATAAAATGTTCTGGTTTATTTTTTAATATATTTTTATTGATTTCAGAGAAGAAGGGAGAGAGATAAAAACATCAATTATGAGAGAGAATCATTGATGAGCTGCTTCCTGCATGCCCCACATTGGGGATCAAGCCTGAAACCCAGGCATGTGCCCTGACCGGGAATCGAACCATGACCTCCTGGTTCACAGGTCAATGCTCAACCACTGAGCCACGCCGGCTGGGCTAAAATGTTCTGTTTTAATACCAGTTTTCAATCCACTTCTTACTCTTACCCAGGGGTCCTCAAACTTTTTAAACAGTTGTCCAGTTCACTGTCCTTCAGACCGTTGGAGGGCCGGACTATAGTTTAAAAAAAAAACTATGAACAAATTCCTATGCACACTGCACATCTTATTTTGAAGTAAAAAAAAAACAAAAAACGGGAACAAATACAATATTTGTGTTTGCATGTGGCCCGCGGGCCGTAGTTTGAGGACCCCTGCTCTTACCCCTTGATTCATTCTTGGCCCTGCTCTGACTCCTACAAACTCCATCTTTTGGGTCCCCTTTCCTGACTAGCTTCTGGGTTGGTCTGGCCAAAGTATAGCCTGCCAAGAGATGAGAGGGGAGAGGAGAGATAAGTTGGCATTTCCCCCACTTTCTGTTTTAGCACAGTAACTGTATCTCTCTATATATAGCCCCTTCTCCATAGTATTAGAGTATCGGCTCCCATAACTCTATTCCTCCTCTTGTCCCTTTGGTCCTAGGATGGTAACAGTATTATTCTGTTGCTCATTCTCAGTTCCTCACTATACCCTTGTTTGTTCCTTTAACCTGCCCATGACTCTGCATATAGTCCCTTCATGAAAGGTTCATTTTGGTGAATTCTTTTCCCTGCTTGACTGAGTTTTATCAGAAGCTTTGACAGGAATATAAATTAAACCTATACCAAGAGAATTACAAACAAACAACAAAACTATGAGTTAGTGGACATTTATATTTCCTTAAGTCTACGGAAAATTTTTTTGCTGTTGTTAATCCTCACCCGGGGATATTTTTTCCATTGATTTTTAGAGAGAGTGGAAAGGAGGGAGGGGAGGAAAGAGAGAGAAGAAGAGGGGGGGAGAGAGAGAGAGAGAGAGAGAGAGAGAGAGAGAGAGAGAGAGAGAAACATCGATGTGGGAGAGACACATGAATCAGCTGCCTCCCACAGGGGCCAGGGATCAAACCTGCAACCCAGGATGTGCCCTTCGGTGAATCCACAGCCCTTCGGTGGACGGGCCAATGCTCTAACAATTAAGCAACACCATCTAGGAAGGAGAATTTTTATTATTATTTAAGAAGTGGAATTGTGGAGTCTTCTGGTGAAAGGTGACAGAATGAATAAATACATTCTCCTTCCATTTTTTCCCTAAACTAATCTGTAGTTAAAATATAGAAACTTAAAAGGAATAAACCTATGAAAGTGAATGGGATGGTAGAGAAGAACAGAGGAGAGAAAAATATCAATGTACAAGAGATTTCAGTATATCTTAGAAAGAAGATGCAGGTTAAGGAAACCACAGCCCAGAATGGGGTACTGTGCATGGGCTGCAGTGGAGAAGTGAGCTACTCTGCTTTACACTGCTTGTTAGGATCCCAGAGAGGCGATAAACGCAGGGTTAGTAGATCTAATGAGAAGTATTAGACATGGGGATTCATTGAAGGTTGGTGTACAGAATAATTGACAGTTGACTCCTTACCTGGTTCCCAAATATAAAGGATAGCCTGGTATGTACTTACAAACATAAACAAACCGACAAAACAAACAATAAAGCATGTTAAGACAAATTTCAATAGAGGAACCTCGTAGACCAGCGGCCGCCAACCTTTCAGACCACCGTTTGGCGACCGCTAGACAGTATCTGACCAGTACTCCTCGAAACTGTCAAGGTCATCAAAACAAGGAAAGTCTGAGAAATTGTCACAGCCTTAAGGGTCTCAGGAGGCATGACAACTAAATGTAATATGGGATCCTGAATGGGATCCTGGCACAGAAAAAAGACATTAGGTAAACACTAAGGAAATGTGAATACAGTGTAGCCTTTAATAATAGTAATAATAATGTATCAAGACTGTTTTATTAATTATAACTAATGCTAATATAAGATGTTAGTACTAGAGGAAACTGAGTACAGAGTATATGGGAACTCTGTACTATCTGCTCAATTATCTGTGTAAATCTAAAACTGTTCTAAAAATTAAAGTCTTTTAAAAAATAATTTCTATATTTTGAGATATTATATAAAATAAGAATAGAATGTTACGAAAACAGAATGCTACCACACACACAAAAAAAAAGCTGTTAGAACTTTAAAATATAAATATCAAAATTTAAAATTTCAACATAAGGCCTGGGAACTGAAGTTAAGGATATCTCTGGCATGCACATGCATGCATGCACACACACACACAGGGAGAGAAGCAAAGAGAGAGACAGACATAGAGGACCAATTTAAGAGTTTCAACATCTAACTTACTGGAGTCTGTGAAGAAAGAAGGAGAAAAATAGAGAGGAGGAACTTATCAAATTATAATACAGAATCATCAATATAGGATGGAGAGATTGGGGTGATAGGGTAGGTCCACAGAGCAGGTACCCAGTGCGAATTCTTGGAATTCCTGTTTTCCTCCTTGGGGAAAACACAGCACGCTGTGTAACAAGTGGCTGATTAAAAATAGAATATGACCCTCTCACACCAGCCTCATGCTCTCTCTAGTCACTGCCTACAGAATCAAATACAGTACACAAGTCTTTTGGTTGAAAGGAGCCACTGAGTGCCAAGCACAATGAATAAGAAAAGGCATACATAAATATGTCCTCTTGAAATTTTAGAAAAACACTGATGAAGAGAAAATACTAAAAGTTCCCCGAGATTAAAAAAAAATTACCTTAAGAAAGGAACAAGAATTAGTGTGGTATTAGATTCTCATTGGCAAACCTGGGGAAATGGATTCTATGTCCTGCCAAGCTATCAGTCAAATAAAAGGTTAGAATAAAGACATTTAAAAACTCTGGAAGTTGCCCAGCCGGCGTAGGTCAGTGGTTGAGCATTGCCATATGAACCAGGAGGTCACGGTTCCATTCCTGTCAGAGCACAGGTGTGGGTTGTGGGCTCGATCCCCAGTGTGGGGCGTACAGGAGGCAGCCAATCAACAATTCTCTCTCATCATTGATGTTTCTATCCCTATCTCCCACTCCCTTTTTCTCTGAAATAAAAAATATATATGTGTGTATATATATTTTTTTAATTCAGGAAGTTTATCTCCTATTTTCTTAGAGAGTTACAGTAGTCCCCCATCTTTATTTGTGGTTTCCAAAGTTTCAGTTAGCCATGCTCAACCACAATCTGAAAATACTAAATGGAAAATTCTAAAAATAAATAATTTATAAGTTTTAAATAGCAGGCCATTCTGAGTATCATAATGAAATCTTGTGCCAGCCTGTCCTGGACATGAATCATCCCTTTGTCCAGCATATCCACATTGTATATGTTACCTGCTCATTAGTCACTTAGTAGCCATCTCGGTTATCAGATTGACTGTTGTGGTATTGCAGTGCTTATGTTCATGTTCATAGATTTTTATTTTTTTTTAGAGAGAGTGGAAAGGAAGGGGGAGAGGGAGAGAGAGAAACATTGATATGAGACACACCAATTGGTCACCCCCCGTATGTGCCCCAACTGAGGCCGGGGATGGAACCTGCAACCCTTCGGTAGCAACCCCAGTGCTCATCAGGGTGATTATCAGATTTTAAAATAAATAAAGTTCGAAATTGAAAACAGGTTTCTCCACACAGTTATTTTGATGGACATTAGCTAGCTGGCTCACACAACTTAACATAGATTTCAAGCTACTTGGTTACGTGGCTTTTTTTTTCCCCAAAAAAATTTCTGTCTATAGGTTAAGAAAGAATCAGTCCAGTTGGCTTGTGTCTGTCATCCTTTCTGTGTAAATTTCATTTAGCAATCTCTACCAAGATCTGTGGGATGAATTTCCCTGACATTCTTGATGTTAGAACTACTATATCCAGTGATGGCGAACCTATGACACACGTGTCAGAGGTGACACGCGAACTCATTTTTTTGGTTGATTTTTCTTTGTTAAATGGCATTTAAATATATAAAATAAATATCAAAAATATAAATCTTTGTTTTACTATGGTTGCAAATATCAAAAAACTTCTATATGTGACACGGCACCAGAGTTAAGTTAGGGTTTTTCAAAATGCTGACACGCCGAGCTCAAAAGGTTCGCCATCACTGGTATATACTGACCTCTAAAATATTTGATTCATAAATCACCAAATGTAGCTAAATTAAAATTTTAACTTTTTATTGAAATGTACTATGCATATTGAAAACACACATAAGTATACTTGTGATAAAATTTGAATTTAATAAAGTATTAATTAAATTTTAAGTGCATTGTTCAATATTCTAAAATAGTGAGTTTGCTCACTATTTTTACAGAAAGGACGCATATTTCTACAGAAAGGAAGAAGAAGCATATTAGTGGAGTTTTATGTGTTTAATTTAGTTTTGGTTTTGTTCTTTTTCAGGATGTGGTGGATACACACCCTGGCCTCACGTTCCTGAAAGATGCTCCAGAATTCCACTCACGCTACATCACCACGGTAAGCTGAGTCCTCTTTTGTCTTAATATAACTCTATGAGTCTCCTTTTTATCACTACCTATTATCCAAGCTTTCAGGTTTTTATGCAAAAGGAAACATGGGCTATAATGATTATTTTAAGATCACCTTAAGGAAGGAAGGTGATCTGTTTCCTTCTTATATGTATCCAGTGCTTTAAGAGATCTTTTGTATACAAAATTAAAGTAATATTTTCATTCTGTCTGGTCTTATGAAGTATACCTTTTGCTGTGTCATAAATATTGATACCCAGTTGCATATAATACTGAAAAGAATTTTCAAGTCTTTCAAGAAAAAGATGTATCTGTAGTACCTCAGAGTTAGAAGTGGACTTGGTATTAAGAAATAGCCTGTGTGGCCTGGCCAGTTTTGCCCAGTGGTTGAGCATCGACCTATGAACCAGGAGGTCATGATTCGATTACCGGTCAGGGCACATTTAGGGTTGTGGGCTCAATCCTCAGTGTGGGGCATGCAGAAGGCAGCCGATCAGTAATTCTCATCATTGATATTTCTATCTCTCTCTCCCTCTCTTCCTCTGTGAAATCAATAAAAATATATTTTAAAAAAATAGCTTGTGTGTAATTAGAAAACAAATCATGTAAGAATTACAATAACATAATTACAATCTCCTTCTTTGTGAGGTGCTCCCTCATTCTGTTTCCACATGACACACTCCCTTACTTCATCCAGATGTGTGCTCATTTGATAAGTCACAGGCAGGCCATGAATTATGAATGAGAGCACACAGGCCGGCCGTGCATATAGCAGCCACGTCAGGCATTCTCTGTCCTAGTTCCCAGGTTATCTTCAAAGGAATTCCAAAGATGAGCCCCACTCACACTTCACATTCATGGCCACACTCAAGTGAGATGGCCCTTGTCTCTGGCTCAGATTCCCCAGTATATGCCAGTCTCCTTTGAGGAAAACCTTCTCATTCTTAAGGTACTTTTTGTTTGCCATGGATTTGTTGCATTCTGTTGAGTTACAGAAAACTGCTGGGTTTTTTCCATCCTTGTAGGAACTTCATTCTTGACTTTCACAATTTGTTTTCATCTGCAATAAAACTTTGCGAGACTTTAAGCCAGAAGGTGTCACTGTCATGTAAGACTGTTTCAGAAGTTATTTTTTCCTGTTAACCACACTATACTAAATTACCTCCACCACAATCACCTGGGCCAAGTCACCCTTCTTTCTCACTTGCATTACTTCTAATTGGTCTCTCTGCTTACACCCTCATTGCCCTACAGCAGGGGTCCTCAAACTTTTCAAACGGGGCCAGTTCACTGTCCCTCAGACCGTTGGAGGGCCGGACTATAGTTTAAAAAAAACAAACTATGAACAGATTCCTATGCACACTGCACATATCTTATTTTGAAGTAAAAAAACAAAACGGGAACAAATACAATATTTGTATTTGCATGTGGCCCGAGGGCTGTAGTTTGAGGACCCCTGCCCTACAGTCTAGTCTTCACAAAGCAGAGTTATCCTTTGAAAATGTAAATTAGATCATGTCACTCCTCTGCTCAAACCCTCCACTGGTTTGCCATCTCACTCTGAGTAAAAACTAAAGTCCTTGCCAAGACTCTCCATAATCCACCCACACATGCCCTGCCCTCTGATCTTATCTCCTACCATCCTACCTTCAGCCACAATGGCCTCCTCAGTGTCTGGAAAATACTAACTTCTGCCTCAGATGCTTTGTTCTTATTCTTTCCTCTGCCTGGAATGCTCTTCCTACAGATTTCCACATGACTGGCTCCCTTACTTCATCCAGATGTGTGCTCAGATATTTCTTTATTAGTGAGGCCTTTCCTGGTCACCCTCTACATTCTTTGCCCTTCTTCTTCCTCTGCTCCCTTCCCCTTTACTCCCTGTTCCTTTGCTCTACTTTATTTCCTTCTTAGCTCTTTTTTGTTCACATAGAATTCATGTCTGATATTTAAATTTTTTATTTGTTTGTTGTCCATCTCCTTCTCTATAAACTTCATGAGAACAGGGACTTCTTTATATTTTCACTACTGTATCTCCAATAGCTAGAATAGTGCCTGGCACATCATAGATGCACAGTAAATATTTATTGAGTGAATAGTGAAATTATTCATGCTTAAGAATTCTACACATTAATTCTGGCTACAATCCCAAAAGGAATTATTGGGTCCTAATTGTTGACAGTTCCATAAACTCGGGTATATTAGTAGCATAATCTAAGATCTTAAGAATTGGATAAGAATTTGAGATAATCTAGTACAACCTTCTACCAATACAGAAAATGTTCTCTATAGAGGACCTTTTATTGAAATTTGTTCTTTGAAAAGATGTAAAGAACAGAATCACAAAGTAGAGATCATTTTTATTTCTCTACACTTTTTAGTTTGGTTTTTAAGTCTGATGGTCATCTAGCAAGTGGCCCCAAGGAAGTTTTATAATTTCAGAGTGAAAAGCCATGAAACAACTTTATTCACATAGAATTCACATTTTCTGAGAAATTCTATTGTGTTAATTGTTAATCAAAAAGAACTACATTGGTCAATCGCATTTGTATATTATTATTTACATCTTTAAAATTTATACTTTATTATTTGTTTTATGCTGCTTTATCCCAGATTCACAGAAATGAATCCATTATTTAGATGTAGTATTAAAGTATAAAGTACTTATGATGAAATAATGACAATTATTTCAAAACAGCATCTATATATCTACACTAATAAAAGAGAAACATGGTAATTGGTGTACGACCGCTACCCTTTTCATTGGCTAATCAGCATATCCTTATGCAAATTAATGTCAGCCAAAGATGGCGGCCGGCAGCCAGGCAGCTGGAAGCGAACATGAGGTTTGCTTGCTGCAGTGACTGCGGACTCCAACCCCCGCCTGACTTGACGGCCTCTGAGCTACAACTCTAAGAAACTATGTACTATGTTGCAAATGTAGTAGCTAAACAAAACCCCAGAAATCAGCTTTCAGCCAGCCGGGATCTCAGAGCTAGAGTTATACATTGTTTCGATTATAGCAGCGGAAGCCTCAGAGCTAGAGCCAGAGCTAAAGCTGGCCCAGAATAAAAAAAAGAAAACAAGGAGCGGTTGGGAGCTTCAGTCAATTGCCAGCCTGAAAGCAGCCCTCAGCCCCTCACCCAGACTGGCCAGGCACCCCAGTGGGGACCCCCACCCTGATCCAGGACACCCTTCAGGGCAAACCAGCCGGCCCCCAGGCCTCTATCCTATATAGTAAAAGGGTAATATGCCTCCCAGCACCGGGATCAGCGGAGCCACGAGGCCTCTTGGCACCAGATCAGCGTGACAGGGGGCAGCGCCCAAACCCCCTGATCGCCCTGCAGCTCTGTGTGTAACAGGGAGCGGGGCCACAACCTCCCTATCCGCCCTGCTCTGTTCGTGACCTGAGGGACCCCCCCTCCCCCCCAAGTGCACAAATTTTTGTGCACTGGGCCTCTAGTATATATATAAAAGCCTAAGCGACCGGCCAATCGTTCAACTGTCTGACCGGTAGCTATGATAGCTATGATGTTCACTGACCACCAAGGGGCAGACACTCAATGCAGGAGCTACAGAGCTGTGGTGACTTGGCAGCTGTGGTTCTCAGGTGATGCACCCGGAACCAGAGAGGAGGGAGCCTGATTCCAGGGTGCATCACCCGAGAACTGCCCTCTCGCAATCCAGGACCCCTCTGGGGATGTCAGATAGCCAGTTTCAGCCCAATCCCCACAGGCCAGCCGAGGGACCCCACCTCTGCACAAATCCATGTACCAGGCCTCTACTTATAACATAAACAGTAAACAAGATCCAGTTGAGAAGGTAGAATGTGAATCTGTGTGTACTGAGATAAGTGTATCTGCTGTTGTGATAATCTCATACTACCATCCATTAAAAGAAAAGTACAAATAAAAAGTATCACAGTGAATATCTGAAAACAAAATGTTATTGGACTGGTTATCATTTCTCTCCAGTGCCTTTTCTGTTATGAAAGTTGGTCAGATAATGGCATGCAGTCATTGAAACTTTTACATTATTTCAGAGTACAGTGAGTTTTTCTAGAAAAATATAAAATAAGCTTTCTAGTGTAAAATTAATTTATGTTATCATTAAAGGCATAAAAGTGGCCAAATTAGTGAGGCATAATTCTCTACCCTTCTCGTGGCAAAAACAGATGAGATCACTCTACTCCCAATGTATTTACAAAGATCAGCCTCAGAATTAATGATAAATATCTCAGAAAAAGCAAAATTAATTTATCATATGACCTTACTGAATGTTATGTAATCTCAGTGACACACAGTATAGAACAGTTAATACAGAGTGGGGCAAAAGTAGGTTTACAGTTGTTGGTATGAAAAATAATACAGTAATTAATAAATAATAATACAAGAATAAACTGTGTTTCATGTTCTCACAACTGTAAACCATACTTTTGTCCCACCCTGTATATTTTGTTTGCATGATAGAGTTATTCAGTTATTTCACTTTATGGTTGGAAGAAACTGATGACAAGAGTATGACTCAGTATTAGCTTATATGTGACACATATACAATGAAGAATAGTTGGGCAACTTTTATTTTCTATTTATCACTGAAAACCTATGCTATAGAAAAAAAGTTTTTTTGTTTGTTTATTTGTAGCTATTTTTAGGCTAGAAAGACAGCACCAACTGTGCACACAGTAAATATGGACGTCACTACCCAAATAAGAGATTGCACCTGTGTCACTCCATTATTCTCCTTTATTCCAGAGAAGAGTTGGCAATGGAGAAGTAAGCCACTTGATAGCAAATGAAAATGAAAATTGGAAATACTAGCAAATTGTAGCCCTTGAGTTTGCATGCTGTGCAGAGAAATTGCCAGTAAATAAGAGACCGCTTATCCCAACTGGCATATGCTGACTTTTGAGGAAAGAGGTGCTCACATGAGCTTTTTAAAAATAAGTGATGAGATTGAAAATACTTCTTTATGACATTGGTGCTAACAATA